TAATCATCATACTTAACTATCACTCAAAAGGATAATGCTACAAACATCAATTCTTCTAACGATTAATCAATGAGAATTCGCTCACTACCCCCATCGATCATCACAACAAGACAAATCAAGCATACACATGCCACTCTAATTTCCCTACAACACTGACCAAGTGTAGTTGTGAAAGTACCATACATGAAAATCCTTGATACCATCATGATTCTTGATGCTAGTGTCTCTATCAACCTCATAAAACCATGTCTTAAGGTAACTAATCATACATTCTTACTTATATTTATTTAGAAAAATGCTAGTTTAAGTCTTTGCATCCTAAATCAATATATAAATCTCTCAAACTTATGCTCTAATACCAACTTGTAAAACCCTCAAATCTGGAAAGAGCAACTAAATTAATTTTTTTAGTAATACATCAAATAAGGAATTACATCTCTTTATAAAAGTCATCAATTGATTACCTACAAGCGTAATCTAAGGTTTAACGTTAACATAATATTCCAAAACCTTACACGAGTCAATATATAGGGACGGATGTTACTAAAACCCGATAATAGTTGCTATATCCAAATGCAGAAGATGTCGCTGAATAGCTAGATCCTTTTTGTAACTCTAATTATCACTCAAATCATCATAGTGTCGCTAGTGCCATTTTCCAATAAGAACCTGATGCACATGCCGACAAATAAAAATGTTAGGCTCAACACCTAGTCAGCTCAAGCAATTTTCATCTTAGATATAAAAGTGTTCAAACTTAAAATATGTTATTTAAATCGCAAGTCCTAAAATGAAATGTATTTGAATAAAACAAACATCCTTTCAAAACCCACCATTTTCATGATGAAAATTCATTTATCAAAAAACCCTTTTAATCATGAGATCTAAGCATGATACTCGCCTAAAACGTGAATAAGGTTAAATGATCATATATTGAAAATGTGGATAAAACTCCATTATCTAAAGTACCCAAAACCTGAATAAGATTCAATCTCAAAAACCATAATTCATGGGATATACTTCATACTAAAAAACCTTAATGGATAAAACCCAATACCCAAAACAACACCTTTCGGCAATGGGGAAGACCTGTATCCATCAAAAGTGATAGTCACAAAAGCAAGCCACCTAACAAGGTTATTGAGCCTACTACGAATCAATGGTCATCAGGTCAACTCTTCGAGTTTGTACCTTGCATAAGGACCCTCGACGATCTCTCGTTCACTAGAAATGATAGCCCCTACGAACTACACGGTCATCAAGTTCAACCCTTCGAGTCTATACCTCGAGTCCCCCACTATTGGATCACAAGATTATCAAGTTCAACTTTTCGAGTTTGTATCTTGATTTCCCGTTGATCTGAGTTTCTACATACATTATAGGAATATCTATCTCCTTCCAAACCGACTCTTAAGCCTATGGATCCATTGCATTACAATCTAAATTACATGACCTCAAATGAATGACCATGCACTCAAAGCATGTAACATCTCAAATAAACATGCCATAATTTCATATTACTCAAAAGGCCTAACATATAGCAACATAAAGTAGACAAATGTCTCCAAGACTCATCTAAGTCAAACCTAAGCCAAAACTCAACAATTAGTTTGACTACTAAAGAGAAGTCATCATAAGCAATGAAAAACGTATTTAACCAATGTTTATGCAAACACATGCTCTAAAAAACATGTTTAACTCAAAAACCCCTCATTGGCTAGGAAAACCGTTTTCCAATTGTAGTCATACCATTTATATTTTCAAAAAGTCCCATGACATTATAATATGCGTTTTCTAAACCAAACACACTAAAAATTCATTTATCACTTATGTACAAAACAAAACCTCAAAAGAACCACACTTATGATTTATCTATCAAAATATCCAACCCCCCCCCCCCAAAATATGGGTGTTTCTCAAAAAAAAAAATTGATTAACCTGGATATCCAACCCGCTATGCGAGCCGACTAATCCCAGGGCGATCACCTGCTTTGCAGATAGCCTAGAGTCACCGCATTTGAACTTCCGTGGCCACAAGGAGATTTTTATTCCTCCTTGGATTTGAACCTTGGTGTTTCTCAATATTTATAAACTAAATGTACTAAAATTTTAAACCTCATCAAATAATAACCACATTTTATAAATATCAAGAAAAACATTTCAATACATGAAATATACGTTTTTGGCATGTACATAGTTTTCACAATGCAACTTAAACTTATCTTGCTAGATTTATGCTAAATCTAGATTTTACCCCATATATTGAGCTTCATTTGATGAAGAATTGAATCAAGCTAGCCTTTAGATCTGTGATGTATAGTTCTCAAAAACACATCATTTGATCCCAAAACATACACAAATAAACCCAAGAGAAGAAATGAGGATGAGGTGAAAAGAACCAAACCCTAGGTTAAAAGACGGTTTTTTATAGGCTTATCTTTCGACTTATCGAAACCCCAACTCTTTGAGGAAACTTCAATCCACATTGTTTCCATAAAGGCCTTCGAAATACGGATCCATAGTAACAAGATCTCCCAGAACGGATAAGATATGACCAAATGAAGAATATCCCGATTTTTAAGCACTACAAGTCTTATGCAATCCTAACAGGCGATATTGCCCATGGCACAATCGCGGGGAACTATCTCCCGAGATCTATCGAGGCTCCCCCCTCCCTTGGCAATCCTGCCTGCTATTGTGCCCAATGGCACCATCTTCGGGCACTATAGCCAGGCATGTACCGAGTGTTTTCCCTACTTTTCATCCATTTGAGCCCTTTCTTGCCCAAAAGATGATACCCAATATAATCCAAATTCAAACTACTTAATTCAACTATTCTAAGAGTAAAATACATATAAAATTAGGATTTCATTTTCCTAAAAATTCGGTTATTACATTGTGCCACTTTCACTATTGCATGACACAATCGTCAGAACCACCGAACACTCGGTTTCACTGGTGCCACCGTGACAGATGTCAACAACTGCTTGACACAATAGTCGAGACGACCATACTCTTAGTTTCATGGGTGATGTTGTGATAGATGTCACAGCATCATGGCACTATAGTTGTGATGATCATAATTGGTTTTCCTTTACGTGATTTCTCAGTTCAACACTTTCTTCAACTGGGACGAAAATCAGGATCTTACAGTCAATCATTTAGCAATTTTCAAAAGGACTCACCTTGAACCTCTATGCTTGTTTTTCTTAATAGTCTCGACAAATGCTTGATAGATTATCAATGAGCTAGATATTTATAAGGTGGTCCACCTTTTACTTTTCAATATTCATTTTTCTCAATATTCGCAATATGCGCTCAAATCATTCTTGATGAGTGCACTAGTTTTGTGTTTTAGAAGCCATATACTTTGTGTCAATGGTCTTGATGGCATTCTTGATGTATGAATTAGACACGATAGGGTCGATTTAATCTTGATATAATTGGTTCAGTATGATTATTGTTAAAAACATTATTTTTCTCTTAATTTCTTTAACTAAAAATTAAATCCTCTTGAAAGTTTTCCCTCTCTTACCTGCTCCCTCTGCAAACCTCCTCCTTCGTTAATTAAAGTCTTATAATAAGCTCTTGAAGCTCCACACATTGACTTTTCGTTTTCGTCCTGTCGTATACAATTCTACATTTCATAAACTTTATTTCACACAATTAGAAGGTAAGTAAATATTTTCACTTTGTTTAGATTTTAGTCATTCTTGTTGAGATTTGGTTTTAAGATTCTGTTATAAACAATGGTTTATGTTTTTTTAAGTATATAATATTTATATACGGCAAATGTAACAAATAAACTCACATACCCTTCTCACCTTTGGTGAGGTTTGAACCCCTGACTTTTTTTTAAAAACCAAGGACTACGATATCGCTAGGCCAAAGGCCCTTTGATGACTATGGTGTTCGTTTCTTTTTTCCTGTCATGTCCATTATAACTCCTCAAAGTAAGGGATATTTGTAATAAGTACTGTAAGAAAGGACTAAGTATGACAATTTGTAAAAGTATTTTGGTATGATGCTTGAAATGTAAAATAATTCAAGTAGATGATCTAATATAAAGATTATGAAATTTATTCAAATTAAATTCAAATAAATTGTGAGTTATGCAAATGTACCAATTTGTTGGTGTATAGTTGTACATGTGAACTGCAGAGAGTGAAGTTGTCCAAAGTACTCATCGTAAACGTGAACGGTCGTATTTGCGGGGCGCTCCTCCATGATAGGATCCCCACATGGCTATTCCTCATCAACTGAAAATGAGAATAGCTAATAGAAAATATTATCTCACTTCCCCCGAATTATGGAAGGGACTTTCAATGTATTTAATGGTGATTTGGGTTGACTGAAGTGTAAAATCTACAATATTATTGAAAATTAAAAAGGGGAGAAAAGGAGAGGAGCCTTGCCATTGTTGGTGTTCTTGAAAATGGTTAGTAGGTTTGAAATGCTACCTAGGTCTTCACCATCTGTAGCATGCACTATTCAAATCAGGTGGTTTAAATGTGATGCATGGATATGTATAAAATAGCATGTTTAGCATGTAATTTTATATGCTATTTGTTTTCAATAAAGAAGTACAATGTGTTACATACTACATATCTATGGTTTATGAACAAGGAGATATGCATGTAAAGTGCTTTTAATAGTTTTAAATCATTTAACATTGTATAAGGAACAGTTATTTATGTTATGCATGAGTGTGGTTTCACAAACCGGAATGCCGGTGCAGACACGTATGCACCATTAGGATCATAATGGTAAGGGTTGTGTAGCTCATGTTCGAATGAAAAAAGGTATAATGGTGAACCATACAAGAGATCTTTCAAAACATGATTACAAGTTTTTTCCAAATCCTTTGACAACTGCTTGCATTGCAATGATCTTATCAAACTTGTTTTTCTTTTATCGGAGTCATTCTCTTGAGAACCGCAAGAACCATGGATGGGTCGGCTGCATTTAGCAAGTTCGACTTTCTATTTCTCCAGCTCTTCATAAAGATTTAGAAGATGGTTTTCTGAAGGACATCCTCAACAATCCTATACTCTCCTTCCTCAGACTTCTTCATTGCGGCCAGTGTCTTCTCGACCCTCTCCTCAAGTTCTTATGATTAACAAAAATGGCAGTCTCTGAACCTGGCTCAGGTTGTAAATGAGAAACTTCTAATGTGCGGTTTCACACCGGGAGAGTTCTCCTGATACCAACCAAATTTTAATTAAAGAAGAATAAGACATGGAGCAACTAGGCTCAAGGGTAGTTGTAAACCAAAGCAAACAAGCCCAACATATCCCACCCAAATGTGACACTACAACAAAAATTGGATTTTCAGGATGCTAGAAATGTTCAAGTGTCCTAATAGACTACTTTATAGGACCAAACAATTATGTGTCATATGTAAAAGTGTTACAATAAATTTACAAGACATTTTTGGATGTCCTAGCAAGTTTTTTAGGACACGGGTAAATGAAGTTCCGTGTTAACCTTTTTATAGACACTTTGTAGAAGTGTCACATGAACACGTTTTTTTATAGGACACTTGTTTTTATAAGACGTTTTTTTAAATAATGTCGTATAAAAAATTAATAAGGCACTTTATTTCAAAAGTGCCAATAAAAACTCGTTAAAATGTCCAATGAACTTATTGTACCACTTCAGATATGACGTACAATTGTTTGGTCATATGAGACAGCCCATTAGGACACTTGGACTTTTTTGGTATCCTATATAGTCAATTTTGTTGCAGTGTGGGGTCTGGTGAGGATAAGTTATACGCAACCTGACCTCTATCCTAGAGAGTAATGCGGCTATTTCTATGAAGACTCCAATCCAGGGTCTCCATATCATCTATAAAACAAAGTTACAGACCAGGTACCTGTAGTATCAGCTGATGTGTCTTCCCATTTCCATAAATCTTCAAGAGATTTTTCTTCCTTAAGCTGACAACAGCAAACAGATTAGTCAATGAAAACGTTTTCTAATTAAGTCGACGACTTTTGGGACTGTCTTAAAGTACAGAATAGAAGAATACCTTTCTTACAGCAGATTGAACATGATGCAACAGAGATTTTGCACTTAGTTTAGTTGATCCTCGCAATATAAGAATGCAAATATGAAGTATTTTCTGAATTTTATCACCAGAATGAATAGACTCGCAGCTCTCAAGAAGATTCTTGACATGTGGGATCAAATCCGTCCTTGCATCACAGCGACGGCAGTAATACTCTGCATCTAGACCAATAGTTCCTCCTACGGTCCCAGCCATGTAAGAACGGAGGGCACATTCTATGTGGCAAATGTGTCCACAAATGAACCCATCTTTGACCCTGGCTTCACATCTGATGAAGCTTTTATTATCGCCATTTGCTGAATCAATTCTCAAAGAGCAAAGGATACAGCAACAATCACTGCAGAAAAGGGGCTCAATACAGCAAATATTGCAGATCATCGTCTCCGAATGAGAAGGATCACTTGCTTCTAGCAGACTGGAACACATTATATTTCCAGCCTTGCAGCCTGCAGGATCAAAATTTGGATTGCAATTTGGATGCCCCGAGACAATTTCTTTTTTTCCTGCATGATTTTGGTCAGGGAATAAATATCAAACTGAAAACACAAATACTTCGTAACTTATTACATGTTTCTTTATTTTCCTTTCATCCCATGTTAGATCATTAATAAAAAATGGGTACTGTTGAGAGAAAAATCGTAAAGAATTATTGTTATTATATACAGATAGAACTCCAAAAAAGTATAAATAATTCTTCTAGTATTTGCAACACTAGATAGATTTGGGAGCCAAAAGATTCTTGTAACCATGACATCTACTCTATTTGCTTACTTGAACATATTTTCTTTCTAAAAAGGGAACAGCTTAATTCCACAGAAAAAAAGTATTTTTTAATTAGAGTTTCTTAAGAAACCGACCATAGATCAATTCCCTCTTTTGGGAGGGTCATGAGTTTCGGGAGCACCAGAGTGGTTATTTTCTAGAGGATTACATCTCAAGAAAAACCTGGGTCAGTTGACGCTAAAAAGGCTCAAACCACAATCAATCTCTATGTCTGGATCCCTCTCTCTACTATTTCTTTATCAGATTTATATTCCTTGGGCTCTCAATACACATACTTTGACAGTCTTATTCAGCTGAACGAACAAGGGGTTAATATTTTAAGAAAATACAGAATCTATTCAAACCCATGTTGCACTTCAATTGCTTCTCAGAAAATTGCTCAATCTTCTTTCATAAACAAAATATAAAGAATAAAAACAAAAACAGAGTTGATTCGATGTCTTGTGACTAATCTCCCTTCTGGTTATCAAAACACTACCACCATACCACATTAAATAGATCATTTTTTGAACCTAAGAGATCTTTGTTTTAGAAAAATAAATGTTTTCAGAAATATGTTAGCTTACCAGGTTTTAAAATTTGGGATATTACTAAAAATGGTCTATCCCCCAACAAATATTCTTGGGAGAACAAAAGTTCAAATGAAATCTATGTACCTGTACGCAAAGGTCACATATGGAATACACTTACAAATGCACACCAAAATCAATGCATATTTGTACAAGAGTATGACATGTTTATGCCTATTAGTTAGTTTAAGCTCCTAAAAGTATTATTTTAGACCAAGTTAGAAAGATTTGACACAATAGACGAAATAACATATGGAAGATGATCACATCAGAAATCTCAAGGTAACGAGCTTCTACTTTGTAAAGATTCAAACAACATAGGAATAGAAGTCTATAAGCTTGATTCTAAGACACTAATATTCTGTTCGGTATGCAGTAAAGGGAACGCGAACAGAATGGAGTCTTATAATAGAATAAAAACTCCTGTTTGGTTACCACATAGAATGAAATGACCCATTCGTCAAAGAATATGATTCCTTCCTATGTGTTGACTTTTATTCCATGGGAGAGGGGTGTTTTTGCCATTCCATGATGGAACGAGATGAAAAATAACAATATAACCCCATATTATTATTTCTATAACCTTCAATAACAAAATTCAGGACTTCAATTAATAATATATTTTTTTCCAAAAATAACTAGAGAATATCGGTAATAAAATACTTTTCACCTAGTTCTCATATACATCTTCTTATTATACTTGTCAACGATCCATCTATGTCATCATGATGCTATAGTTCACATATTGAGGTCCCTTAAAAGAGCACCAAGGTAAGGTTTTGTTTATGCCCTGATCACAGAAATATACAGAATATGGGATATTCAGATGCAAGACATAAAAAAGGGCCTGGTGAGTGGAATATTTGTATCCTCAAGAGCAACAATGTGGTCGCACTATCTGGAAAAAGATATTGAGCAATGACTCCAATTACAGTACGTTGACTTGGGTACGAGTGATACAAGGGTAAGGGACATCTCAATTGGACTAATGGAAACATATTGCAATGGTGAAGCAGTCATGCATATATCCAAGAACCAAACTTTCTATAAGCAAATAAAATATATCAAAGTCGACATGATTATGTTCATGAAATGGCGGCAGGAACTCTTCGCAAATCTCCAGCTATTAAAAAAGTTCGGATTTTGCTTTGGACATCAACTCGCAGTTATATTGACAAAACGCCTATGAAGATCTCACATTGACTCTTTATGCGACAACTTAGATGCGTTTGATATAGATGCTCCAACTTGAAGAGTGTTCAGGTTATGAGGTCACAACTTACAAGGTTAATCATGTCATTATTCTCCTAGGTTTTCGAAAGGTTTATTGTATTCTCAACCCATGGCCCACGAATGTAATATATGACCTTTCATAGAATGAAAAATACACCTTTTGAGAACTCCACATTCCATGTATGAAAATAAAAACTATTGCACAAATCTTCTTGTGTGTTGTGTTTATACAATTCCAAGCTAGTTTACATGTAACTGATTCGTCCCACGATCCCAACATTGCAGGTTTTGCCAATATGTTAGTAACTAAAGCAGAATAATGATGGTACATACATAAGTTAATGAAGTATAACAAAACAATTTTCAAAAAGTTCTAGATGATGAAAGCAAAGAGCACATACACATCAGTGCCAGAAATCCTAAATATAATCATATAAAGGTAAAACAAGGTAGATTGATAGGCCAAAAGAATTCAAAGATTGTAAGCTACATTGTATGAACACCGATTAACGCGATAGGACACGACTGTGTGATATGAGAATACAGGTGTGTATGTCACATTATGTAACTCTGTAAGTTTAAAAACCAAGTGAATAAAAGAAACAAATCATCTTTGTAGACTGTAGTTCACACATGCACCATACAAAATAAGCATATACTTAATTTAAGCAATACATAGTGGTCTAAACCATCAAGGAAAAAAGAATTTCTTTCTTATGGTGTAAATCAAAGAAATGGCACTTTGCACCATGGTACTTCACTAAGTACTGTCATTCAAATGCAGACTTTGGAGTAGTGTTGCGTATTCAAGGTACATATTTGGTTCATGGTTTGGGTGCATGATATGCATGGCTAGGGGTACGTGGTTGGTGAACAGTAGTCTTATCAGGTAATTTATATTGGTACACCATATGCACTTGATGAAATACTTTACTAGTGCGTTTAATGCTTTCATGTGTATGCATCTTTTTTTAAGAAAGAATACACCAATGACCACTAAGTTAATTGGGAAATTATAAATGATAGCGAATCTTCATAAGTATCTGTACAAAAATAATAGTTTTGGCATTCAATACTTAAGTATCAAGTATAAATTATGTATTAATAGTTCACAATAATTGCTTATCTGATCTGTCATTTGAACACAAAAAGAGAATGCTTTACATTTACCGGCATATTACTCATTTACTCATATAACTCCAGTAAATAGCTTTTCTCAAACAGATTTGATAGCCTATGAATTTATTATTGTTTATTACAAATGAAAATCTTGTTAAGCTCAAACTTAGTACCATAGAAAATTCAATTAAAAAATAAAATAAATTAAACATCAACGTTATTTCACCTCTCTTGTGTCAGATTTTCTATCTCTTCCTTGTAGTTCCAACGTACATGAATTTTTTTGGAAAAATTCTAATTGACAGAAGATGCATCTAATACAAGTACAGGAGATTTCAAAGGTACACTGAAATTTTATGTTCTTTATGCTCAAATTAGATCGAAAATATTTGTATGTCTTCTAAAGGGAATGAAAGAACCGGCTTTGTAATTTGCAATGGCAGATGTGAATATAGTAACATTACTTTGGAGAAGCATTGGTAGACCAAAAGAGATTAAGGCCATCTCATTCTCCAAGAAACAAAATCATGTCACCCTATCTAACATAGAGGTCTAGTACGTTGCATGTGCTCAAGTTCGTGCAGGGGCAATACGAATGAAACCCACCTAAAGGGCAATGAGATAAGTCTTAATAAAATTCCAATAGTATATGAAAAACGAGATTTACTAGTATATGTAAATATCCTACATTGCCTTCTAGCATATTTCATTTATATAAGCCAACCTTTCCTTTTCAAATTGTATTGGTACGTGTACACACCAAAGAAAACGTTACTGATATTTTCATCAAATCACTAATACCAGGAAGAACAAGCTAAACTACTCAGAAAACACACATGCATCAAGTCCTAGTTCCTATGTAAATCATAACAGACATGTGTGCATAGAACTTGGTATGTGCCTGTATAATGATCTCTTTATATTTTACCAAACAGTAAAACAAAATCAATCTATTAGTGTCGCATTAATGATCACCATACAGGTTTTAAATGCTTTATAGTCAACGTCGATGGAGCCTATTCATCTAAACAAGTCACATGCAGAGTATCCATTATCGTTGGTGCTTAAAGATAATTCAGAAGGGCTCTACAAACTTAACACATAAGATGATATAGCCATTTAATAGAAATACCATTTACGTCAAGTGAGTAGTTGACATATACAGTAGAAACATAATTGATGAAGGCCTCAAATCGTAGTTACCTTTAATTTTTTCAGCTGGAATCTTCCAAGTGAAAGAGGCAAAGAAGGCCTTGATATCTGCCGCAGGAAACGCTTCCACCATGAACCGCTCAACTGATTTCTTACTAGCAAAACCCCCTAACTTAAATTTTTCATGAAGACGAGCAGGAAGATAAAGATATCTGTCCAGAAAATGTCCTGTAAGACTAACTCTCTTCCCCACCTTCCAACCCCACTTATCACCAGGTTCAGGAAAATCCTCAGGAGCAAATGGCAAACCATAACCTGAATGGTTACTGGGTACCACATAAATCTCACTTTCCTTTGATCCGCTGGTGCTTCCATCACTTCCATGTGGAGGATCGATCTCCATAGCTCCACTTATTCACTAAATTTTAACTGCATCCAATACCATATTCATATCATTAGTCTTTTTTTAACAAATAGAGTACCATTTGGAAAAAGAAGATAAATATAATAAATAAAAGTGTCCATGTCTATATAGGTTACATAATGCAAGATATATAAACAGCATGACCACATGGATATAGCCCTGTATCTTAACACTGGTCAACTTGGAGCAACTTGATCTCCTTAATACCCCCAAATTCATTTGATATACAGAGGTCCATATGTTGGATTTAAACATTAGGGTAAAGTGTTAAGAGATAGGTTCTCAGTTATTGGTACTTGTACCATGGCGTTAGGGACTGTATCAGTGTGATTTTTCATTCTCCAAAAACATCCTCATCTTGTTACAGAGGCTAACAACATTATAATCATGTAACCAGAAGACTGGAAAATAATTATCTATTCAACTTTCGTACTAAATCAATTCAGAGGTCACATGGAGTGCATTACCAGCTGCAATTACCTTGGATTAGAAAAGAAAGAAAAACAGGCATTCGACTAACAAACGAGCTCTGGAAGAATTTCAGTGCATCGTCAAGGGTTTCGCGAGCAACAGCAGAAAACTCGATAGAAACTCCAAAAATTCTGAAACTTGACAGATTTCGTAGATAGGGTATCGCCATTTCAATAGCTTCAACGCAATGGTATAGTTTAGGGTTCCAGCGAGTTAGAGTTTGAGATGAAAGGTAGTTTCGCGACCGGAGAATTCGTCTCCAGAAGCTCGCCATCAGTGAAGCTCGACACCAGGAAAATGCGTGACCAGTCGCGACAGATTTCAAAAATCTAAAGGGGGTTCGCGATTATTCAGGTTTGCTAGGGTTCAGAGACTGATCGATCATGGCGACGGTAAATGGTGGCGACATTCAACGATTTGTTGACGGTGGATGGCGGCGACGTGTTTGTTTTTGTTTCTCTAGTCAAGTACTATCTAACCATGCTTACTATTCTTTGTAAGAAAAATAACAAAAATTAAGAAAATATAATTAATATTGTTGAAATATGGGACACTCTAAGAATAACAATATTCACGAAAAATCCATACGAAACGGAGTGAGATGAGTGAAATTATACCTTAATGAACAGCAATTTTTGATGTCTGTGTCAGAACCAAACAACGAACGCAGGCTTGTTGTTTATTCGGTCTTTCTTTAAGTTGTTAGACTCAAACTTGAGAGAAAACGACTCTAAGACGGCCGTGACAGAAAACGACTGTGAAAAGAGAGAAAGAGGTAGGCTAGGGTTTCCCAAGCTAGGGTTTTTTTTTCTCACGTAAAGAATATGGTCACACTCCTCGTTTATATATAGTAGATAAGTTTCAATCGTTTACAACTTTTCACCCTCTTCTTTTATATCTAATTAATATTAAATAACTGTAATTTTGGTCCTTGTGCTTTGTTAGATATTATGAGTTTGACCCATGTGGTTCGTTTATTACACCGCTAATCATTGTGGTTTGCATTTTATTACAGATTTGGTCCTTTACCCTAGTGGTCGTTAATGAAGGCATGTAAAATAAGACATTATGGTCTTTTTACCCCTTTTGTTTTTTTTTCTTATTTTTATTTTATTAAATAAATTTTGACTTCTTTTGTCATTTATGCACACCACCACTTTCCCATGTTCTTATTCCTCTCACCACCCACATAGCCAGAGAAGTTAACCGAGTTTCTTTTTGTGTTGGAGGTTGCCACCATAACCATCAATAATAACCGAGCTACGACTCCAATTAGTGTCTTTATCCCCTTAACCCCTCTCTCTTCTCCTTTTTCACGTCATTTTCCTTTTTCGTTGTTCATGTTGCTCCTCCACCCTAACCTTACCACTCCACCCCAAACTCATTTTGAACTCTTTGTTGCCAACACCGCCAACAAACCTACCACCAGCCCCCATATGTTGAACAAGCTTCTCTCAAACACACCACATATTTTCTTTATGAATCTAATCGATACTATATGATGTTATCTAATTTAAACAAGAGTAAACTACACTTTTGGTCCCTATGACTTGCTAGAAATTATGGATTTAGTTATGTGGTTCATTTATTACATTGGTGGTCATAGTGGTTTTTATTTCATCAAGGATTTGGTCATTTACCCTGATGGCCGCCATTAGTAGATGTCGGTTAAGTTGAGGGTGTTTTGGTCTTTTTAACCTTTTTCTATTTTTTGTTAGATAATTTCATATTTTTTGTCATTAATGCATTCGTACACTCCCCTTCTTCTTCTTCCTCCTCTTCTTCTTCTTCTTCTACCCTTCGTCGCCCATAACCATCAAAGATCACTAGTTTTATTTGTTGCATGTTGCCACCACAGCCACAAGATATCACCAACTACAACTTTGATTACCCTCTTATCGTCGACATTTCTCTTCCATTAACCCCCTATTCTCGCATTTCTCGTACATTTCCTTTCTTGTTGCTCCTGGTACTTCTCTACCAGCTAACCATTATGAACTCTATGTTGCCAAACCCCTAGCTAGTAGCGCCAACATCCCTACCATCAGCCCCTTTTTAAAGAATCGTCTCTCTCTCTCTCTCTCTTTCTCTCACGCACATACACACACACCTCATCATTATGATCCTTTGTTTGCCTCTTTCTCCATTACTCAAAGGATATGCTCACTAACAAAATATTCCAAAAACATCAAACCTTCGATAGATCAATTGTGTTTGATTCTTGAGCATAATGAGCATTTTCAACTCCGTCACAAGAATAGCTCGTTTAATCTTGATGGGTTTCTTTTCCAAACCATTTTTTGTTATCACTTTGGGTCTTGTATAATTTGCCTATTTGATGAGGTTTAATTGATGGAACCAATTTAGAATGTTCTAGTTCTTCAAGGGCCAAACACGAAAGTGAAGCAGAGAAATGGGAATTTCTTAGTGTGGCTTTAACTACAAATTTCATGAAGTTATTATTGTAGATGATTATTGGATTAACTAGAGAGCTTCTAAACTAGCCAATGGAAATAGGTTGCATTATTGGGGAGTCGGTGGTGATTATGAGTGTAGGTGTTTGGTGTACTTTCCATATATATATAAAGTTGTTTTCGTTAGACACGATTTTTATATTTGAAACTTTATAGCAAGACACTGTGAAGGGTAACCTTCACAATATTTTTGCTGTGAAAGTTCAGCTTTTTTTTACCTTTACAACATTTTGTTGTGAAGTTTCAAGTGTAAAAATCGTGTATCACGAAAACAGACTTGTCTCACGTGAACCCAACTCTGTATACATATATATATATATATAGAGAGAGAGAGAGAGAGAGAGATTGTTTCAAATACAATCCGTTGCATTTGTACAACCAATGCAACCCAATAAATTGAGATATTTATGGAAATGATGAGAGTTCATTTATTATGATTTGAATATTTATGGAAGATGAATATGGTTAATTAATTATGATTAATACTTTATATTAGAAAACAATCAAAACTTCTATGAAATCACATATTAATCAAATGAAATGGACGGTTGAGATTGTGTTGTATTGGTTGTATAAATGTCAAGGGTTGTATAATAACCAMCCCCTCTCTCTCTCTCTCTATATATATATATAGAGAGAGAGAGAGAGAGAGAGAGTTCAAACGAAAATGCTACCTAAATAAGAAATAAGAGAATGAATCCCAACCAATCATTTATTTGAATAATGCATTAAATAGAATTTCTTAAAAATCATCAAAAAGACATGTGTTATTTGTTGGATATGGATTATATATGGAAATTCATTTATTTCTTTAAGAATTATTTAGTGCATTTATTTAAGATTTCTTTTTACAATTTAAACATTATTAATTTTCCTTTTTTATGACATCTAAAATAAGCGTAACTTAGTTTTTTATTTTAAACATTTATTTTTATTGAATTAATTTAGGTAAGTTTTTTTTACAATTTTTGTCAAATATCATATATAAGATTGATCATAGTAAATTTAAGTAGAAAAGAAATGTAAGTTATCTACAACATCACATATAACATTTATAAATTATAAATTATGTTTTGTATCATATTTGATCTTATACGTATTAAATACTTTGTATTACACATCATATATGATTTTGTTTCCATTATTTTTCTTTTTTCTTTTTTCTTTTTCAATCTTTAATTTGAGTCATTGTTTCTCGCTTTTCAAGTCATATGTGATTATGAGTTCTTTTTTGCAAAAAAGCCAATTAATTGTGAACTAAATGTGTTTTAAGTTTTTTTAATATTACCTTAAATAAAAAATAATATTTTAAATAAAAATTTAATTACGTTTATTTTAAATGCCTTAAATATAAAATAATTTTTTTTAAAATAAAATAAATAAATAACACTAAAATCACAGAAATAATAAAAGAAAAATCTTAAATAATTGTTATAAAAATAAATGACTTTTATATCCTTATTTATTCATTTTTGAAAATTCTTATTTAAGTCATTATTTAATAGATTGTATGGTATATATTCATTATATATTTTTTATTTGGATACTCTTCTCATTTAAACTTGACTCTCTATTTCTCTCTAAATCTAATGTGAGTCAATAATTTAAAATAATTAATTTTATTCCTTAAAATAAAGTAATATAGTAAATTAATAATTTGATATTCCTATTTTATATTTAATTAAAATATTTAACAACTCGTTCTATCTCTTCCTCTCTCGCTCTCCATTTTTAACAAGTCTCTATCTCTCTCTCTCTCTCTCTTCATATACATATAGAGAGAGAAAAAAAGTTGAAACGAAAATGCTATCTAAATAAGAAAATAAAAGAATGAATCTCAACCAATCATTTATTTGAATCATACCTAAAATAAAATTTTCTTAAAAGTCTGTCAAAAAGGCATGTGTTATTTATTGGATATTGATTGTATATGAAAATTCATTTATTTCTCTAAGGATTATTTAGTACATCTAATTAAGGTATTTATTTAAGAATTTCTTTTACAATTTCATGATCTAAACATAACTAATTTTTCATTTTTCCTGACATCTAAAATAAGTGCAACTTAGTTTTTTTATTTAAATATTTATTTTTTATTGAATTAATTAATTTAAGTTTTTTTTTACAATTTTCGTCAAATATCAGATATAATATTGATCATATGAATGTAAGTTATCTACAACATCACATGTGATATTAGTAAATTATAAATTACCTGTTTGATCACATATGATCTTATACATATTAAATGTGTTCTACTACACATCATATATGACTTTGTTTCCATTATTTTTGTCCTTCTTTTTTAATCTTTAATTTGAGTCACTGTTTCTTGCGTTTTAAATCACAAGTGATTAGTAATTCTTTCCTGGAAAAAAAGCCAATTAATTGTGAACTAAATGTGTTGTAAGTCTTTTCTAACTAGTTATGTGCCCGCACAATGCGACGGAATGTCAAATTTTATAATAGAGAAATTCACATCTCAAACATACTCAATGTATCTTACTCAAAATCAAGATCCAAGTCGATAATATGTACACATACATTCATAGACCCCCTACGACATAATGTGAGACTTAACTTCAGGTCGTTTACTCAAACGCTTACCTGATAGGTGTTTACCCGTAAGATTCAACACTCAAACTTACTTTAGCAGGGTATAAACTTTCGTCAAAATCATTCAAATTAAAATTTAAAACTCCCAAGATGTTAGTTTACTTGTGGAACTGCAACCGTTTGTAAAAAAAAAAATGTTTGTAAATAATTATAAAAACAAACATATTTGATAATGCAATTATGGATTCAATGAATAGAGTAAGAGAGGCCAAAAGGCCCCCCCCCCCCTGAACAATCAATCTTCACGTCATTGGTAAATTACTTCTTAGAAAAATGAGGTATCCAAGAAAAGATTATATACATTCTGTTGGTCCCAAAAGGGTCTACAAGAATACTAAACAGTTTGTA